AAGAAGTTAGGTGAAAGGTGTTTGAACTAAAAGAAATGAGACATAGTCTCAGGGAGAAAAAAGATACCTTTGTATCACAGCCATGTTCAAAATGCAAGAGGCAGAGTTGCCGAAGCAAATGCTGAAGGAGTAACAAAATCTCTCCCTTTCATACACATGCCCAAAACATGACCTAAAAGAAAATTTTACAAAAGGAACCCTTCAAAACAAGCAGACTAAGGTTTTCTGGAGGGTAGCCAGAAAAGTCTACCTAGTAAAAGCTACTGTGGGTATTATTTAAAGAAACTTACTGTTTTGACATAAGATGATATTTTGGGGGTAAGTTTTTTATCTTTCCACAAGGAAAGCTTTGTATTAAAGTCTTTTTTTATTCTGAAGAACAGAACCCATTAAATCCAGGTCCTGAAGAGTGAATGTGAACTTCCCAGCCCAAAAAGGACACCTACCCAAGTAACTATGTTTTGGAACAAGGCACCTCTTTCCCTTGCCAGCTGCTTGCTGAAATCTATGCACACAGGTAACGGGAGTACACAGGCACGGGAAAGCAGAAGGTGAAGACACTGTTTGCTGTCTCTTTCTCAGCTTATGGATGTTCCCCTGGGCCAAGATGTAATTGTGAGAAATTTTAATGCCAGCATTCCCACTTTGTGGAGGAGGCCAGGCTGAGGACGACATGGAGAGGCTGCAGGGGCCGGGGAAGGAGAGAGGAAGAGGAAGAGGATGTGAACTAGTATTTGTTTGCCTCCCTTGAATGATCTGTGGGGGCAAAAGATGGAATCCCCGGTTAAGTCATTTCCCTGTTAGCTGTGCTTTTTGAACAGGACATACCTGAAACCAAACAGGGTAAAATCAATGTCACTGACTTATCAACTGAGGAGCACCGGGTCAGGGAGAGTAGCGCCCACTCAGGGTTTCCATGGGGTAGAGGTTCTGGGAGATGGGAGGCCAAGGCTCTGGTTTCTAACAGTGGCAGGGACACATAACTCAGGGCAACACAGCAAACAAAGGCAAAGCAAACTGCAAGAATGAGTAACCGGCTTGGTTCATACAAAGGGAGTGGAAGGCAAGACCACAGAGAGACTAGGGAAGATGACAAGGGAGGACATGAAATTCTGAACAGAAGCCCCAGGTGGAAAAGGGGAGCCAGGGATGGCTTTTGAGGACACGCTGGGAGGGCAGAGGCCTCAGGAAGGGCTGCTGGGTCAGGATGGTATCTTAGCTCCACTGGGCTTACAGAGAACCAGGGTGGTGGAAGTGGGGATGCAGAATCACCCACAGGAACAATAAACCCTGGCAGCGCTCAGGGAGAAACTCAGGGTGGGACAAAGACTAGGACATGTTCTACACTCTTGTAAAGACAAATAATCCATTGTGCATTTATCCCTCCCTTTTCAGTTCAAAGGCTATGAAAACATCTACGTCCTATTAAGACCGATATTTTGAAATCTTCTAACATGAGGCTTACCCCCACATCAAAAAAGGCGCACTTCAAGTAAAAACAAAGCAAAACATCCTTTTCTTTCTATAGTATTCTTTGAAAATGTTCTGCTTATGGGGAAAAAAAAAATGAAATGGGCTTTGGGACTGACTGCCTATGTGTTTCCAAAAAGAGGCAGGCAGTAAGTGTGCAAGCATTTGAAAGGACCACTTTCTCTAGTAGAGGCTTCCCTGTATTTTTGTTTTTGAGGTTTAAACATACTTTATTCTGCCCCGCCATGAACTGTTAAGATGGTTAGATTCTACGAGCCTCCGTTCTCACCTGTGAAACGGGGTGGATAATACCTACGTCCATCAGGCTTCCGCAAAGATGACATGAAAAAGCTTGCACAGCACCTGAAACACAGTTGACACCCAGAAAACAAATGCCTCACGCCCCCCGTATGCTCCAGGGAGTAACATTCAGAGAACTATAGCAGCCAGGAGTCAGAAGTGTTCTTCAAAATAGCTTTGCAACTCCTAATTAATATGCCCTGGAAGGAGAAGCAAATGAGTTTCAGAGAAACAGCTGGGCCTGCATTTTGTGAGGCACAGGAAGGTAATGCATTTGAGCTGGTAGCAAGCACTTTCCGATATTCCAGATTACACTCCTTTCAACAGGAGTGAATGCTGGTAAGTGGCTATAAAAACAAAAGGCACCACTAGAAATGTTGTCTTTAAAACACTTTTAATAAAAATCATACTCAGCACATCATAAAGCCTTTTGCATTTCATACCTATTTCATTTCTACAGTTGTCCAGGTGTGTGATGCTCTTCCCCACCTCACGTCTTTCCACGTGTCCTGAATGCACCTGCCCCTTTCACCGAGCTGCTACTACTTACCTGTCCTTCAGTTCCCCCCTCAGAAAGGCCGTCCCTGACACCAGCACTGAAGCTAGCGGGAGGGTGCATGGGGAGTCATTATACCATTCTCTATGCTTTTGAGGATATGTAAAAGTTTCCATAACAAAGTCTCTTAAAAGTCACTCTTTAATAGAGGAAATGAAAGAAAAACACATGGAGTCACCCCAAGTACACCAATTCCACCTGTCCATGAACCCAAACTGTAGCTCCCTCCCTAAGGAATGCGCAGCACTGACCTACCATCTCATCACTGGGTCCTGCATAATTCCCAGTTTGCTTTATATGTCATCATACCATTTCATATACCGAGCATATATTATGATGGTTTACTATAATAGTAATCATATACACTGCCCAAAATCACTTCACATGATCTAAGAATAAAAAAAGGAAATGTTTAATGAAGAGGCTGCATTACATTTCATGAGCTCCCTCTAGTGCTAACAACATGAAGTCATTTTCAAAGTGTTCTGGGGAGCCAACAGGTTTGGGAAAATCTGCAACAAAGTTGATGTTTTAAAGCAGGAAAAAAAATATATCAGGGAGAAAAGGGGTTAGAATTTAGGAAAGAAAAACAAAATGAACTGAGAGCAGAGAATTAAAGCACGCAGAAGTTCCTGAAAGGTGATTTCTCAGAGTCCACTGACCTGCACGAAGCAAGCAAATAAACATGGCCAGCAACCCCCCCGGTACCCCACCCCAGCTGGTTCCACAGCTCCTCATCCTGCTTCCCAATGACCTGCCCTCCTCAGGCTGCCACACCCCACGCGCCTGCCAACACCAGGTCTCCAGAGCTGCCGTACAGCCTCTCTGGCAGCTCTCAGCTACAAGAAACCTGGCCAGAGGACAACCCAGGGAGGACAGCAAGTGGCAGTGAGCTGGAAGTGAAGGGCCTCCCCTGACCCTGAGGGCTCAAAAGAACAGCGACGGTATCATTAGCTGACATTCTGACTGCTTCCATGTGCCCTGGCTGACACACACTGTGAGTTAGGTCTCACAACAACTCTAAAGTTGAGGCATTTCATGACAGGGGAAATGGACCAAAAACAAAACACACTTTGCCGAGACAGTAGAAGGAAAAGACCTTGCATAAGGACCCCCAGCTAAGACGTAGAGCTTAGTCACAAATAAAGGCAAGTGGGTACCAGAGCTCTTTATTATGCTACCAGGTTTTTGTTAAGCTCAATTTGGAGGTAAAATCAGGACAATACTGATAAAATATTACAGAAACATCAAGGAGACATGCCAGCTGACAGTCCATCCAGTAGTTTGCAGAGAGATGGACAACAGCAGGACCATGTCAGCACCTCAGCTCATAGAGGAACTGAATCCTATCAACTCTCCTTAGGGGACCCAGCCCTGGGGAACTGACTCAGACTATGCCAAATGCCAACTTATAAAGTTACTGTAACTTGGATAAAAACAAGAACTGTAACTTGGAAGAAAACTAAAACACTCAGCGTCTGCAGTTCAATTCACCCTCCCCCAGTGAGCAAAATCTACATAGGAAAAACAAGTCACCACCAGAATGCTGCTTAGTAAACCTAAACACTAAGGTACAGCACTAAGGTAGTAAGAGGCCACAAGTCATAAAAACCCAACACAACGGTAATATAAATGCCAAGACCAATCATCCTGGGTTTTCTGGAACAGTCTTTTATCTCCAGGTCTCTATTTAAAAGTCAGACCACATGCTGTGAGTTACTATTTCACATATATGATCATCCATGCTAGAATAGTGGTTATCTACTCTCTAATCTCATTTTCAAGGCTCTATGTCAAATCACACCTTTCCAATATATACTTACCTCAAAAACCAAAATCATTCGTTTAATTTCTTTTTATTATAATCACCCTCTGGCTTTGAGAAAGCACCCTTGTCTGGTAGATGCAAGAGACATACAAGCCTGTCAGGCTTGGAAAGTAGTTTCCTCTCGTTATGTATACCACGTTACCAAGTCAGGCCTGGATTATCACCAGTTTTATGATGACTGTCTGACCTCTGATTTCAGATAACTGACACTTTTTCATTTGCGTCCTAACCTGTGCATATAAAAACCCTTTCAGAATAACTATTGACTTACCTCATCTGGGAAAATGAGGGTATTAATTTAAATTAGGGGCTTCCAGGGTAGAATGAACTGTCCTTAGGGAAAAGGGGGAGATCAAGCTTTACTCAATAATTATATTCTCATCTAGTTTATATACAGAAATGTAATGAAAATTTCCACTTGTAACTGTTCTGCACTGATCTGTATGATCTCCCAAGGTCTCTTCCAAGGGCTAAAATTTATTATTTATTTTTTTAATTCTTTCAATCAACAGATATCTGGAAAGTACCTTACTAAGTGACAAGACTTTGTGCTAGGCATGATGGTTACAACAGTAACCAATACGCTAATAAATACAGATTCTGCCCCCCAGGGGACCTACTAACTGGTTAGTTTTTATTTAAGAAACTGAAGAGTGATATAAATGTATGTCCACAAGCAGACTCACCAAAAACTCTAATTTAAGTTTCCTCAAGTGTTAAAATAAAATCACAAGACTCCTGAAACTCAGCTGGTATGCGTTTCTTCTATGGACATTGGTTCAATATTTCTTCTCCTCTGCCCAATATTCAGAAGACGGAGGCTGAATAATACAGACAAAACAGTTGTAAATTGAAAAATCAAACTGGATTTTATTAAAATATACATAAAGAGCCCTCATTTTTCTTTATTTCATCAGTTTTGGGAAGTTAGAAATTACGTGAGAAATAGAGTTCTGGTACAGAGAAATGAAAACCAAAAGGGAGTAAGTGAAACTGCAGACCAGCCTAGTTGTGCCACTAAGCAGCCTGAGAGGCATTTAGTATATCCTCAGTTGTAGAATGAGGTGGTGGCTGGGGGGTCAGTTGAAACTCCAAAATTCTACTGTCCTAATTCTATTATTGGGAACAAATGTTATGTGTTAACTGTATATATTAGGTCCTCACAATGAAAAGTAAATGAACACTGAACTCTTAGGAATACTTTTAAGAAAGAAAAGAGAAATACATAAGTTTGCTGCTTTAAAAAATGCATTGCTGTTATCATTTTATTCACATTAATTAGAATATATACACAAAAAAATGCATCATTTGTTGCTTTCAAAAAATTCTATGTTCCATGAGAACTATGTAAACAGTGTAAAATGTTTCTGCTGCATAACAAAAGAAGTATCAGCATTCCATGTAGTATTAGGAAAATATTTAAGGTAATTTGAAGTTATAGTAAAACAAAGTAAAATATTATAGAACAGTCTTTCATGAAGTATATTTATCTAGAAGCAATACATTTCATACATTCAAACACTTTGGTCTAAGTGAAATTAATACAAAGCAAAAAAGCCAAAAACAAAAAAAAACTCTACTTTGGTTCTCACATTAATTGGAACTTTAGCAATGAGGCCACTCTGCACAGATACTTCAGACAACAAGATGGAAAACCTCTCATTGCCCCCCTCTCCTATGGAAATGGACATGCTGGGAGGGCGCCTTCTAGGACTTGTGTGCGGGTAAGCAGCATTCTACTTCCTTCCACAACTGTTCTCAGAAACAACTCAGAAGGCTTCATAAAGACCTTACATTCAACTTGGAATATAAGTGATCTTGGTTATTAATTCCCCTTAACAAATACAAATGGCCCCACATTAAAGCAGCTCAGAACTACAATTCACATTTAAAGTAGAACAGAAATTTTTTGAAAATCATATTACTATAATTTCTCAAAAGTCCATACTTAAAAGTACATACTATATTAATTTTAAAAAGTTTAATAGCCCATTGACAATAGCTTTTCAAAAAATAGGAATAACCATCTGCATGCTACAAACATTTCTTCATTGATATCACATTATTACTTTGGTAACTGTACAACTAAACTGATCTGAGAAGTTTTTAATTGCATCATTTTAATTACATTTTCTCACCTATACTGTCCAAATGTGGTACTGATTTTTTCATTGTCTTTGTGTTCTGCATGTTTTCTTTTAAGTGAATCCCTACATTTGAGAATTATATCTGAGCAACTGTCGAAGAATCACTTTTCTGTCATCCATCACAGGAGCAAACTGGAGATGTCCTCTGAGGATTTTCTCAGCAACGTAATTTATACTGCGACTTTCTGGAAAAACAAGAAAGTCTTTAAAAGAAAAAAACGAATCCTTGGTGATCTTCACAAACTTATAGTAATAATGTAATAATGCATTGTTATTCCCTTGTGAAGTATAAGAATACACTGTCTAGTGCTCAACTTTCCTGAACAAACACCTTGAACTGCCTCCAAAGAACCCACCCAGTGAGCAGTCCTCAGACAGGCCTTCCAAAGGGAAAAAAGTGCACCAGGAAAACATTCAGTGAGATTAACTAGCATGACCATCTTCATAACTAAAAGAGCATACAAGATAAAAGATAAAATTTTGTTAGACTAATCTGAGGTTTTTAAAATAACAATCCTAAAAAGGACTACAGGAGATAAACATAAAAGAATTATTCAGAGAAACTGATCTATGCTTGACTGAACCATGTATAAAAGAACTGCTGTTATTCTAAATTATTTTATAATATTAATACAGTATTAGGAACTTAAATTCTTGCTTAAATTTTCCAGCCAAGTATAAGAAGAAATAAAATAATGAATAGTGAACAAACAATGTGTAAAATGAAAAGGTACTTGGTTTTTCACATTAGATGATACTAAAATCCTACAACAATACTGTTCAAGTTTTGTTCGTTTTGCTTAGTTTTGTGGAAAGTGTCAGGAAGCTTATATTATTTCAAAATTCATTTGGAACAGCTAAGACTATAGCATACTAAGAACTTGTACTGCCAGATAGTACAATCTGTAAGTTATAATCGCTAATACACCATATTTCATTGATTCTAAGATACCATCAATTTTAAGACACACCATTAATTTTTGTACCATGCAGAGAAAAGATGTCCATGATAGGGAGTCTAAAAGTAGACAGAGACCCTCACAAAGAGTGGGGACACTGAATGACTATGGCCTCAATGAGGGGTAAAAAAACAACTCTTTCAGAAGGGACAACAAAGAAGTCTGCAAACCTCTACCTTGATGATGAGAAGAAGGGGGAAAAAGTTCTTTATATTTGAACTAGTACCCCGACCCCTGCCCAGAAATTTTGTGGCCTGAATTCACACTACAAGTGTAGTCCCAGAAAAATCCAAGAGAAATTAGCTTAAGCAGTCTCAGGTTGGTAGTGCCCCCCCAGTGACTGGCAGAAGAAAATGCAAACCATCTCAAGAAAAATTCAACTTCCATCCAGGCAACTGCTGATTTTAAACTGCATTCCAAAGTTAAAAATGCTACAATATAGAAAAATAGTACTTGAATTCAGTGAAATAGGGTGGATAGATAAATATGTCATCAGAAACCCTAGAAAACAAATACTGGGTATATGATAAAAAAATACCAAACAACAGAATATAATAAATACATCAAGCCAATGACAAAACTGTACCTTATTCAACATATGGCACAAAAAGCTTTTAATCATTTAAGAAAAAGTTAAATTCCTCTCTATACCATAGTCTTCTAAACTATAAAATCAAATGAAAAACAAAACCATGTAATAACAAAAATAAAATAGATGTAGTTACCTATATAATCTTAAAAGACTGACCTACATATTTTCATACTATGTTCTCCACCCAACTCCCAAATAATCGAAAGCCTAAGCAAAAATAAAAGGCAAATATCAAACTAGAAAAATATATATGCATTTGTGATGGCAAAAAGTGTATATCCTTAAATACTATAATTATAAATCACTAAGAAACAAAAATATCCCACACCTCTGAAAATTCACAAAGGTCAAGAATGGTAATTAACAAAAGAAACAGAATGGCCAGTTAAATATACCAAAAATGTTCAATTTCACTAGCAATGGGAATGTAAAATGGTAAAACAATGATGTAACAATTTCTGGCTATCAAATTGGCAAAATTTTTTTAAATGATAATAATACCCAGTGTTGTCAAGGGTATAGGAAAACTAGCACTTAAGAGTGAAACTGACAGCAATATACTAATAGAAGTGGACTTTAACACCTCATTTACATCAGTAGGCAGATCATCCAGACAGAAGCCAGGAAGGAAACATGATTAAGTAACACATTACACCAGATGGACTTAATAAATAAACAGATGGTCCCTGACCTACAATGGTTCAACATACAATTTTTCTACTTTACAATGGTACGAAATTGCTATGTATTCAATAGAAATTATACTTCAAATTTTGAATTTTTACCTTTTCCCAGGCTAATGATATGTGGTACAATACTCTCTCATGATACGGGGTAGTGTCAGTGAGTCAGAGCTCCTTACTCAGCCAAAGCAATCACCAGGGTAAGCAACTGATACACTTAAAACCCATAAACCCATCTGTTTTTCACTTTCCCTGTAGTATTCAATTCATATTCAACACTTTATTATAAAAATAAATTTTGTGTTCTCTGAGTTTGCCGAACTGCAGGCTAACCTAAGTATTCTGAGCACATTTAAGATAGGCTAAACTAAGCTACGATGTTTGGTAGATTAAGTGTATTAAATGCATTTTTGGTAATTTCAATTTATAATGAGTTTACAGGACATATCCCCATCCTAAGTCAAGAAAGATCCATATACAGAACATTCCACCTAAAAATGATGGAATATACATTCTTCTCAAGTATACACAGAACATCCTCCAGGACAGATGTTAGGCCACAAAGAAGTCCCAGTCAATTCAAGAAGACTGAAATTATATCTGGCATCTTTTCTGAACACAATGGTATGACATTAGAAATCAGTTACAAGAAGAAACTTGGAAAAACTACAAATACATGGAGATTAAACAGCATATATCTGAACAACTACTGTGTCACAGACGAAATCAAAGCAGAAATAAAAAATACCTAGACACAAATGAAAACAGAAATATGACAAAATCTATGGGATGCTGGAAAAACAGCTCTAAGAGGGAAGTTCATAGTGATACAGGCCTACCTCAAGAAACAAGAGGAATTTCCAATAAACAATGTAACTTTATACCTAAAGGAACTCAAAAAAGAACAAAGCCCAAAGCTAGTAAAAGGAAGAAAATAAGAGTGAAAATAAAAGAAATAGAGACTAAAAAGACAATAGAAAAGATCAATGAAACTAAAAGCTGGCTCTTTGAAAAGAAACAAAACTGACAAACCTTTAGCTAGACTCACCAAGAAAAAAGGAAAGAGGGCTCAGGGAAATAAAATCAGAAATGAAAGAGAAATTACAACTGATACCAGAGAAATACAAAGTATAAGAGACCACTGTGAATAATTATATGCCAACTGGCATATTGAACAACCTAGAAGAAATGGATAAATTCCAAGAGACTTAACAATCTTCCATGACCGAACCACAATGAAATAGAAAATCTGAATAGACTGATTACTAGCAAAAAGATTTCACCAGTTATCACAGACCTCCCAACAAATAAAAGTGGAGGATCAGACAGCATTATTGGTGAATTCTACCACACATACAAAGAAGATTTAATACCTATCCTATTCCTCTCAAATTCTTCCAGAAAATTTAAGTGAGGGAACACTTCCTAACTCATTTTATGAGACCAGCATTACCCTGATACCAAAACCAGATAAAGACATAAAAAAAGAAAATTACAGACTAATTTCCTTAAAGAACTTAAATGCAAAAATCCCCAGCAAAATAAAAGCAAACCAAGTTCCACAATGCATTGAAAGGATCATACACCATGATCAAGTGGGATTTATTCCAGGGGTGCAAGGATGGTTCAACATTCATAAAACTATCAATGTGATTTACCATTTTTACAAAATGAAACATAAAGAAATCACATGATCATCTCAATAGATGCAGAAAAGCCTATGACAAGATTCAACATCCACTTATGATAAAACCTTTCTAAATAAAGTGGGTACAGGAACAACATACCTCAACATAATATGACAAACAAAATGTTGTTTATGTTAACATAAAATGACAAGAAAGTTTATATCATACTTAACAGTGAAAAGCTAAACACTTTTCCTCTAAGATCAAGAACAAGGTAAGGATGCCCACTCCCCCCACTTCTACTCAACGTATAGTACTGAAGTTCTAGCCACAGCAATTAGGCAAGAAAAAGAAACAAAAGGCATACAATTTGGAAAAGTAGTAGTAAAACTGTCACTATATACAGATGATGTGATTTTATATATTCCATATATTCACAGATATAAGAACATAGTAAGACATAGTGTCTTACTATGCTGATGGACAGTAACTGCAATGGGGTAGTCGGGGGGGGGTGGCTTGATAATATGGGTGAATATAATAACCACAATGTTGCTCATGTGAAACCTTTATAAGATTGTATATCAATGATTACTAAATAAAATAATTAATTAATTTTAAAAAAAGAACAGATCAGTGGTTGCTAGTGGGGAGTGAAGTTAGGGGTGATAGAGTGTGAAATGGGTGAAGAGGATCAAGAAGTACATACCTCCGGTTATAAAATAAGTAAGTCATGGAGCTATAACATACAGCATGGGAAACTGAGTCAATAATACTGTATTAACTTTGTATGGTAACTAGACTTATTGTGGTGATCATTCTGCAATGTATACAAATTGTCAAATCACTATGCTGTACACCTGAAACTAAATAATAATGTATGGTAATTACACTTCAATAAAAAAAAAAAAGAAAACCAGCACTTACATATTGATGATAGATAGGAAAAGTGAGCAACCTTCCTGAAATGCAGTTTAGCAATAGATATGGATCAAAAGCATTTTATAATGTGTAATATTCTTAGATCTAACAATATCACTTCTGGGAATTTACCCAAGCAGAGATGTACAAAAAGTACACAACTAAATGTCAAAATTATTTATAATAGTGAAAAAATCAGGAAAATCACCTAAACACCCAACAATGATGGATAAACTAAGTATTTTAATAATAGAACTACAAAATGGAATATAACCCAACTATTAAATGTCATGTATCACTGAAGCACTGCTTAATGTATTAAAAGATTAGAATAACCTAAATGCCTACCAGTAAGGAACTACTTAACAAATTACAGTGTAACAGTCCAAAGAGTAGGATACAATCATTGAAAAGAATAAGGCATGCTTATGTTCCGATATATATTATTCTCTCTGCTTGAAATCTTACCCCAGATATCCACCTGGCTCACTTCTCAAAAGACACTTTATCAGTGAGGGTGATAAAGATCCCTGGACATCGAATATACCATAGCAACTTGCTCTCGCCCCAAATGCACACTCCCTTTCCCCCTGACCCTGCTACTCTACTTTTACCATATGGAACACCAATGCTGTTTATTTGCTGTCTATTCTCCCCCAGAGGAAAGATCATTAAGGGCAGACTTTCTGTGGTAGACTACTGTGAACCCCAGTGCCTACAACAAGTACCTGGCACTTAGTAAGGTACTAAACAAATACTGGATGGATGCATGGTAGACGGGTGGATGGATATGGAAAAAACTCAAAGATAAGAAGATACAAAAAGAACAGTGTGTCTACTTTGCTATAATTTTTCTTTAAAAAAGATAAAATCATATGTGTATGCATATGTGTTAGCAGGTGTCTGGAAGGATACACAAAACTTAAAACACTGGTTGCCTCTAAGCAGATGTGAGAAAAATCACACAACATTCTTAAGTTGGAAAAAAACAGGCTACAAAATGGCAAATAATAATATGAAATGTATCAGACTTAGAAAAGGCTTAGAAGGATTAACTTCTAACATTTTAGGCGATTTCTGCTCCTTTGTGTTCTTCTGTTTATTTTCCACATTTCTGCATGAGGCACTATTTTTTTTCATAGTTTTTCTAATTGCTTTTTAGGTACACAGAGCATTTGTTTAGTAACAGCACCTGCACTGGATCCTAAGACATGGTGATGCTCTGAACTGCCTCCACAGTCCCCACTCTGAACCTCCAATCCCAACCTAGGGTACTCCTCACTCCTGCAATTCTCCAACCTCATCCTACCACCAATCTCTCACTTTTTTCATTCTCCATCACCTCCCAGAGCTCCCTTGTCTTTCTCTTCCTATCTTAGAGAGCAAAACCCTAATCCTAGTAAACCCAAACATTTGCTTACCTTAAGCCTCACCCAAGTCATGGCTAGAGAAGTCAGGGAATTGTGCTAACAGTACTCAGTTAAAATTTATGGCCAAAATAACAAATGGGCATTCAAGCCTGCAATATAATCCTGCCTGAGTACATTCTTACCTCACATCTCCCACAAGCCCTGGAGTGGTGACCTTACTCGTACACACATCAGAGAGGAAGCTGAAGTAACCAGAATACCTTCCCCTTCCCACAGCCAATTTCACCAACCCAAATCTGTGCCCACACACTCTACCTTCTCTGGTACTATGAAAGACGCATCCCAGCTCCTCTACTAAAGCTAACCCTTCATTTTGCTCTGGCCCTGCCCCACACCACCTTTTTAAGTATTTCTTCCAACAATTTTCCCCTTTTGTATTTGCATTATCTATTTCTCCCTTAATACTAGATTGTTCTTGTTAGGAAACACCTTAATATCATAAAATGTCACCCTGTCTTATTTCTATTACCCTTACAGCAAAACTCTTTCCTCTCTGATCCCTTACCTCTCAACCCACTTTACCTCTGCCATGATATTAAAACAGCTTTGCTCAAATACGAAAAAATGGTCACAACCAAAACGGTAATAATTATGATAATGGGAAAAAAAAAAAACAGTTTGCTCAAGGTTACCAGTGGAGCCCTATGTCCTCCTCAAGCCAACGTGTCAATTCGTGGTCCTCCTCTTACTTGAGGAGGACTCTCTCCTTGAAGCAATCTTCTCTCAGCTTCCCTGGGATCACAAGCCCCTGAATTTTCTTTCACCTCATTGACTCCTTCTCCACAAGACCTCTATACTCTTTACCTACATATTCCTAGGTGATCACATCCAGCTTCTGGTTTCAAATGGCAATTAGATGCTGATGATTCCTCAGCTCTGAGGTTTCTTCTGAACTTCAGACCAACATCAACTACTGACTTGCCAAAACAGAACTACTGATTTCCCATCCCCATAGCCCTCGAAAAACCTGCTCCTTCCACAAGCCTTCCAAGGAAAAGGGACCACCACTCACCCAGTTGCTCAAATCAACATCCTGAGTCACCCTTACCTCTTCTTTCCCCTCAAACCCCACAAGGGATTCATCCACAGTCCTGGACAACTCCACCTCCAGAAGAGACTGACTTAAATCCTCTTTCCCCAACCTTACCACTGCATCCACAGTCAGGGTCCCCACCAGCCCTAACTATTCTCCTTCCTCCATCAATAGCCTACCCTCCACCCAGCACCCAGAACATTCCTTCTGAAGTCTAAACTAAATCATATCACACTTCTTCTTAAAAACATCCAATGTTTCCATCACACGTAGACAAACTATTAACACCTTACCAGACCCCACCTCTGACTCTCCTCTGTCTGTTCTCCCTTTCATTTTACCCTTAGCCACGCTGGTCTGCTTTCTGTCCCACACACATGACATGTCTGTTCCCACCCCATGGCTCTGCAGCTGTTCTTTCTGCCTGGACTACTCTTCCCACATCTTCAATCCAACTCCTTATCATTCAAATTTCAACTCAGAGGTCATCAACTCAACAAGGCCTTCCCCAGAAGCAACCCATCACTCTAGACATCTTCCATTTTATCTTCTCCAAAAATTACCAGCATCCAAAATTTACTTATGGATCAGAGTACAGGTTCACTGTGGCTCTCCTCCTAGTAGAAGGTGTATTTCTTAAAGGTGAGGATGCAATCTTACTTATCACTTATTCCCACCATGAAAACTTATGGTAGGTACTAAGCAAGTATTTGTCAACCAACTAAATGACTATTTTATAATTGAAAATCTGGACTAGAATAGTTTTGAAATTTTATTAACTTATTTTAATACTATATTACCAGAAATGATGAGAACTAGTAAAACTGTATCAAGAATCTGAATATGAAACAGCTTTTACCTACTCTAATGACTAAAACTCCCTAATATTAAGAATTATCTAAATGTCCATTATTAGGAAACTGCCTAAATAAGATGGGCTATAGTCATAAAATGTTTTACGACATAGCCATTAAAGATAGAATGAAAACGATCTACATGTGACTGTAATGGGGTATGTGGGGGGACTTGATAATAGGGGGAGTCTAGTAACCATAATGTTGTTCAAGTAATTGTAATTGTACATTAACAATATCAAAATAAAAATCAATAAATAAACAAACACATGATCTACACATGCTAAGAGAGAAAGTTGTGCAAGCTATACGGCTGATTAAAAACATCACACTGCTTTACAATACATTCAATGGAAAGCCCTTTGTAATGTGCATAAATATCTGATTTGATATACACATGAAAATCTAAGGAAATCCTACTAAAAGTGGTTACCTTCCAAAATAAGAAGGCAGCTGACCTTATCACTTATTATTATAAAACGAAAAAGTGCCAGGAACTACTTTTGGCTTCAGCAATTTAAAGCTCACCAATTGTATTTCACTCTTTCAAAGGTTTTAAAATTTTAGCTTTTTAAAAACACATTATCTATCTAGGGAGGAAAAACAGGTGTCAGGAGAAAAGTCAGGAATACAGAGTGTGGCCAACTTGCACACTAGCTTATCTATCCCTATTCGTTTCCTCTATAATAAATACTGGGAATTCTTAAAACATTGCTTTTATGACCCTTCATGCAGTTTGGAACTGGGGGGACATATGGGGCATGTGGCACAGGCTCAGTCAGTTGGCACTGAGTGACAGGGATAGGCTTTTGTTTTCCCAATGAAAAGGAACACATATAGCTGACCACCCTTCCCTCCCTTAGTCATGCCTTGAATACAGACATGCCATCCGGAACTATGGGAGCCATTTGTAACTATAAGGCGGCAAGAGCCAACATGGAGATGAAAAGATGCAAACAATCTGGTGGCATCATTCAACAGACGGACCCTTCCCATTATATAAGAAATATAAACCTCTATTGTTTAAGGTATTGTGAGTTAAGTTCTATTACCTATTGCCAAAGGAATATTCCTGGGAATCTATCTTCAAAAGAAACTGAAAATAAATGAACTCCAATTCTATGCAGAATTAGAAAGAAGATTTAAACAAGTCAGAAAAGTAGATGCAAACTCCCTTCTTTAATGTCTCTATTCTGAATTTCTTTTAAAAGATTAAAAAAAAAAAACTCAAGAGAAAAAAGAAGAGAACATTATAGTCAACCTCAACTCAACAAAAAAAAGATGTCAGAATGAAATATCCAGAATTCATACACACAATAAAGATAAACTCACACAGTGAAACTGAAGTTCAATCAATGCTGGGGCTGTTCTGGACTAATGTTGATTGTTCGGTATATTTCTTTAAGTAACAACAGGGCAGTATCTTCAGATTCCCTATTATGAGAAAAGAATACTTACTATTAGTAGATATTAGTAGTAGCCAAAATATTAGTAGATATTAGTAGATATTAACCTTTATGCATAAAGGTGGAAAATGTAACTTTTGTTCTACTAAATTCTACCTAAGAAAAGCAAATGAAAATAAAGCAGTATAACCTTGAAAGTTGTCCTTAAAAGCTGGATGGATACCAACCAACTCCAGAATAGTTGTATTGCAATGCTCCTTGATGACAGGGGGATGTATAAAAGGATGGCTTTTCAAAGTCCCTACCATCCCACTCTGTTAAAGGAGTGTGCACGTACCAAAGGCCTTTGGTTAAAGGCAGATGACATACTGCCATCTCGTGGATAACCACACTAGAGGAAAACAACATGGGTTTATTTTGAATCAAAGAAATTCTGAATACGTGGGTGTTCAAACTGATACCCATAACAAATGATAAATGAGGAAATGAGTCTCATTAAAACTGCTTTATGTGCTAGCACCTAAATGTCACATGAATGTTATCAGAGATGAAAATACTTACCAATAGCATAAATGACTCTGAAGAGCGAAAAGATATTCATTAAAACTCTCTATTGGCTTTTCTTGAAGAACGTAGTCAATTCGGCGGCCTCCATTTAGCATTCCAACCTTTCCTAAGTAGTCCTCATCCTTGGGAAAATCTGGACTTTCAACAATCTTTTCTGCTAGAATTTAAACCATTTCAATATCAAAGTCAATCACTTAATCATTATCCTTTGACTTTAGCTGACTTTCTGGGCTCAACAGAATATTGCTTGACACACGTAGCAACCTGGGGAGCTACCAGGCTCACTTCCCATTCCTCCGAAGAGCCAGGGGAAGAGGGGCTGGTTACCCGAGAGAGAGGAGACAGAGCCAGCGAGCTGACAGAAGTTTTGAAGAAAAGGGGTGAGAGAACATTGCAGAAAGAAAGGAAATAGAATTAGAATCTGAAAGTCAAAAACATCACGGCACGATGACCTGACACTGCACGTAAGTCTGTAACAGCACAGCGGAACGGCATCAGGAAGATCGTTTCTCACAGTGGGTCTTTAAAATGCCTGACTGCAAACTTTGTTCTCAACTCTGAAATTTCACTCTGGCCTTACGAATCTTGACGAAATTTAAGATCGCAGAGTAAAAAGTTCTGCAACTATCAGGCAAAAACGTAGTGAGAAAGGACAATAGTGTATCATCACAGATTTTCCTCTGCAGGAAGAGCCTCTACATTTTAACAAAAGACTAGAATGGAAAAGTATCATTAAATAATTTGTTATGTTCACAAATAATATTCATACTAAAAATGCCTCGAATGTCAAATTTACCTTCAACTACTTGTTTTTCTTCTTCTTCTTTGATTTGATTGGCTACCTTCTCCAATTCTTCTCGCAATTGAGTTGAAGAGGTATGAGCACGAGCAAACTCATTTAATGTCTGCCAAGCACTTTTCAGAGAGCTAATAAAACCCTGCTTCAAATCAGATCCCATACGAGAAAGACTTTCTTTCAACTCTAAAGAGATTAAGATGATACATCAAGTTGATTAGTCAATGGGTAAAATTCTGCACCACAAATATTAAAACTAAAGTTAATACTATTCTCAGATAAGATAAAACCTGTTAAGTCTTCTCTTCAATGTTAAATATATGGAGTTTCTCAGCCAAGAACTCTCAACACATTATAAGTGTTTTGAGGAGTCTTAATGTGTCATTTTTTTTATCTGAACTTGATCCAGCCAAAACCTATAAATTTCCTCTTTCCAAAAAAAGGAGTTCAAATGCCATAAAAAAATAAGCACACTCATGTGCTTTTTTTTTACTCTAAGTTAAAAAAACAGACCCACAAGATTAAAAAGATGACTTTTTCTAATCTACAATGATGATATAGCTTTGAAAATCAGAGATTCTGATTTAACCACGATTTAAACTTCTAATTTAAAAAGGAAGAAACTCCTGACCCTGGATTTTTCTTTTATTTAATAAATCCTATTTGAATTTAAAGGACTGTATATCAAATTTCTCATTTGACCTTTAAAAGAGTTAAATATTTTTTAAAAGCATGATGTAAACCACACACAAAAAGAAAAAAATACTTTAAAAAAAAAAGGCATGGTCACTTTTCCTTCTCTTTTTCCTGCTGCATTCCCATCCCTTCCACCCAAACTTTTTAATTGACGGATAAGCAATACACACCTTAATAGGCATAAGAGAAATCTAAACCCACTTGGAATTGGCAATTATGCTTATCGAACTTTTTTAATAGGAAGAGTTTGTCTAGCTAGTGGGGAGATAAAAGCTCACTTGACTTAGTCTCAGATTTATTTTTTGATAGTTTGGTCATTACTTCCAATGTTACTCTGGCTCCTAATTCCAAAAACCATAACCAAATTCTATCAAAATCTACGCAACTCATCACTTTATTTACCGACTTCCTCCAATCCTAACTATCCTAACAATTAGAATATTATCACAGAAAAGGGACTCATTCATAACTTTTATAACTCCTCCAAATATTTAGCAAACAGACTGTGAACACAGTAAGCACTTAACCTTAATTCCATCAGAAAGGACTGAACTGTTAAAACTTTTATAATTCATTACAAATGACAGGGAAGACAGAAAGGACATAATTTATTACAAATGACAGACTATACAGTGACAGAAAGGAAATAAGTTTTTATACAGTATTTGCTTTTTACCTAAGTGAAGTCTTTTTCTGCCTTTGTGATGTGGAATGAGAACTGCTTTTAGGTCCAAATCTGGAACAATCATAGGTTCTAATCTGTATGCCACTGGATCAAGCTATATAAATAGAAGAATTGGAAATTTATGACAAGCTATTTTGAGTTAGGTATCTTAGTTGGGTGAGAAATCAGATAACTGGTAAACCAGTTTTTTTTTCACATTATTCAAATACTGGTAATTATAAGTAGACTTTCAAGTTTGTGGGTAAAACTACCCTGCAAGCAAAACAATGGAATTATTTCCTTGAACAAAGGCTTTTTGGTAGGAAGTTTACGGGAAAGTATCAGGCTATATCTACTAAGACAGAATGCTGAGTTGTACAAAATCAAAATTAGTATTAATTCCTAGGAAGTAAGAATCTGACAATCTACTAGGATAAAGAGAACCAGTGCTTCATCCTCTTCAAAACAGGAAATAAATTCAGTTCACTCACTGGATGATAAATATTGAAGAATCCCTTACAGGTAGGAAGCCTGTAGTTCTCATCTATCTTATCCACTCCTCGAATCGTGAGAAACATACCAATTGGAGATCCCAAGGCAAAGAAAATCTCAGGTTCAAAGTCTAATGGGTTGTAAACAACAGAAACCTAGAAAAAATTAGAAGAAAAAAACAACAAAATATGATCATTCTCATGTTACATAATACAAAATGCAAAAGCTCAAGCTTTTACATTAAGTAGTCAAAACTGCAGACTCTAGAATCAAACTATCTGGGTTTGAATCCTGGCTCCACATCTTACTGTGTGACCTTGGGCAAGTTTCCTAACCTCTCGTGCTTCAGTCTGTTTCCTTATTTATGAAACAGGGATCATAACAATACCAAACTCATAATGTGGATGAAAAATAAACTAATCTAAAGTTCTTAACACAGACCCTAGCATATTTTAAGTATTCAACAACTGTTAATTCTACTCTAACTACCAACCTAATTTGTTAGGCAAGTTTCTTTCCATTAGGAAGAATGATTTGTCCCAAAAGAGCCTCTGTTTTGGGGTAGCTTGCATGTAGCCTCTCAGCTCACTAAGAACTGCCAAAGGTAAGAGAAAGCACTGCATTCGCATGGCACACAATAGCTTACAAAGCTCTTTCATGTGTTGCTCAGCGGCAAGATATGTGCCTCTGTCACTTTAAACAATGGATGGCATAATCCAAGAGCATGACAGAGGTCGTACAGCAACAATCATGATGCCCACTTCTCAGATGAACATAGTGAAGCTCAGACAGGTGACATCACCTACCCAAGAGCACACAGCCAGTGGGTGGCAGAATGAGGACTTCTAATATCAAAACCAATGCTCTTTCTACTACATTAGGCTGCCTCTTGTAACAAAATCTAGATTTGACATCTCTTTGCTTGCCTTATATCTGCAAACCCAATAGTTTCTGCTACTGAGGAGGGCCACACAGGAGGTGCTGTCAATTTTATGCATTTTCCCCAAGTTCCAGAAAAAATAAGGTGAAAAGAAAAATGACAAACTGGAAAAAATACACTATGTATGACAAAGGGCTACAATCCTTAGTATATAAGGAATTCTTAAAATATCAGTAAAGAAAAAAGTAACTCTGTAGAAAAATGGGCGAAACCAGTACTTCATGAAAGAAAAATGCCTACAAAACATATGAGAAAATAACTAACCTTTCTAACTGCTTAAAGAAATATAGTGAGATACCATTTTCTCCACAAGGTTACCAGAGATATAAATGAAGTACTAAAAAGAAAGTGAAAATCTCCTATTTTCATGAAAAGAGAGTTACAGAGTGAGCACACTACATTCTTTCAAAGGTGAGATAATACCAGAACCAGAGATGGGAGGTGATCTTATAAACAGCCGGTGGGAGCGCAGGCTGGGCAGCAATAACCCTCGTGAGCACAAAGTTTTCATGTGCACACTCTTTGGCCCAGCTATCCTACTTCCACTTATTTAACTGAAAGAAATAATAAAGAATGTATACAGAAAATTCACTTAAAGCTGTTCTTCACTCTTCCACTTATTTAACTGAAAGAAATTACAAAGAATGTGTACAGAAAATTCACTTAAAACTGTTTATCACTGGATTGCTTAAATAAGTGAAAAATTAGAAATTGCTTACATGTCCAATGTTATGGGCTGAATTGTGTCCCCAAAAAAGAGATACATACCAGTACCTCAGAGCTTACTTGGAAATCAGGGTACAGGGAAAGGGGGTAATCAAGTTAAAATTAGGACGGGCCTTAATCCAACATGATTGGTGTTATTACAAAAAGGGGAACTTTGGACACAAGACACAGATACACACAGAGGGAAGCTGATGTGAACACCCTGGGAGGATACCATGTAAAAATGGAGGACTGGGTGATGCACCTACAAGCCTCGGCACACCTGGCAGAGCAGCAGAGGCCAGGAAGAGGCCAGGAAGGATCCTCCCTACAGGTTTCAGAATACGGCCCTCCTGACACCTTGCTCCTGACTCCCAGCTTCCAGAACAGTGAGATATTAAGCCTCTACTGTGTAAAGCCACCCAGTTTGTGGTGCTTTGTTGTAGTAGTCCTAAAAAACTAATACATCCATTGATAAGGAAATGACAAGAGTAGGTCATTGTCTGTCCAGTGAAACACAGTAATCATTAAAAAATGAAGTTGTAGGAGAGTATTTACTAACATGGGAGTATATGCACAATATACCGTTCAAAACAGCAGTACAGGGTTTTAGTGAAACATTATAGAGCATTTTCCCATTTCTGTTAAAGTATGTATAAATAAAGTCTCAAATAAAAATCCAGAAATCCTTTTCAAATAGTTAACAGTAGTTAGTTCTGATTAAGGAGACTATCAGATGCTATATTTCACTCTTCTTTTGCTTAACCAGTATTTCTTGGCTTTCTTGCAATGGATGACACACACTGTGGCTACCGTTTAGACTGCACAACAACCCTTTAGTACAGATACGACCTGACCTTGGCCCATCCACCATGGAAGTGGCATGTGACCTGGCCTGGGTAAATCAACCTGTGCCCCATTCCTCAGACAACAAGAATTGGTCCAGAATGAACTTGTGACTCAAACCAGGTCAAGTAAAATCCCTCCTTGATTATTTTCCTAACTGAACATACTAGGGGAGATTCCTTTTCCTCTGTGTTCATAAAAGTGTAAGGAGGTAAGTCCAGAGATACCAACACCCATGGTTCCAGTTTCATGGAGAAGGCCAACTGCCAGAGAGGGTCACACACTAACAATGTCCTGGTGGCCTTGAGCCCCTGACTCCACACATCTCCTTTTACACTGATTCTCCATGGTTAGGCGAGGAAGTATCAGCCTTTATTTGCTAGAATCTATTCAAATTTGCTCATGTTTAAAGAGACACATTTTTTTTTTTTGAGAGGGCATCTCTCATATTTATTGATCAAATGGTTGTTAACAACAATAAAATTCAGTATAGGGGGGTCAATGCTCAATGTACAATCATTAATCCATCTCAAGTCTAATTCTCGTCAGTCTCCAATCTTCTGAAGCATAACGAACAAGTTCTTACATGGTGAACGAATTCTTACATAGTGAATAAATTCTTACATGGTGAACAGTACAAGGGCATTCATCACAGAAACTTTCGGTTTTGATCACACATTATGACCTATAAACAATCAGGTCAAATATGAATATTCGTTTGATTTTTGTACTTGATTTATATGTGGATCCCACATTTCTCCCTTTATTATTATTATTATTTTTATTTTTAATAAATGCTGAAGTGGTAGGTAGATGCAAGATAAAGGTAGAAAACATAGTTTAGTGCTGTAAGAGGGCAAATGTAGATGATCAGATGATCAGGTGTGTGCCTATGGACTAAGTATTAATCCAGGCTAGACAAGGGCAGCAAGACATCCACGGATGCAGAAGATTTCTCTCAAAGCAGGGGGCGTGAGGTTCTGAGCCTCACCTCTGTTGATCCCCAAATTCTCACCTGATGGCCCCCCTGCGACTGTGCCTGTCTTAGGTTGTTCCTCCCTTGAGGAATCTTACCCGTAAAGAGACACATTTTTAAGATGGAATCTTTATCAATGAATTGGACTTCAAAGCTTGAACAGGCTATAGCAAACATCCAGTTCCATTTTCTGCATTCTTTAAATCAATCATGAACTCATTTATGATGATGGAACTTTATAATATAAACAACTATAAATACACTGAAAATAACAGACCTAAACAGATTCTTATTATTCTAAGCCATTGAGACACAAGCATATTAAATTATACTACTAAATGCAACATTATCAACTACTTGATCCATTTCTGTGGGAATTTTTCCCTAAAGAACGAACTGTGAATATAATTATGCTAAAAAACGTAAGTTGAGTGAATGCAACAAGTTTTTCTCACAGAAACTTAAGTATATTCTGAACATAATTTACTAATTAGTGCCACTTTTGCTAGAGGCTATGAGACTAAGGCTATAAAATGATTAGTGGAAAAACTGAAATAAAGACAATTTCAAAATTAGATAATATGTTCAGTACACATTCAATCCCTTATTTCACACAGTATGAAAGAAGCATACAATTTTTTAAGAGAAAATCAGTTTTCTTCACACACCCCTAAATGATGAATAAGTATTTTAAGAATTTCAAGCCAATCCAAGTAATAAAGATATGTGATTCCAACATAAAATATGCAGCCCTAGTCAGTATGTAAACTTACCTGTCCAGTGCCAACTTCAAAAGACTCATAATTAACATGCATAGAAGAAACATAAGCACCGACTGGAAGTTTCCTCTTGGAGCTGTTAGATTCTGAGGGGAGAGAAGCCATTTCTTTAGCTTTCTGAGCACTTTCCTCATGTACTTTTGTTGAAGCAGCCATCATTGCCTTCTTTTCTGATGCTGCTTTTTTCTGTTCCTGTGAAATACCAACATTTCAAAACATAAATTTGAGCATAAGTTCAATTAATAGGTGCCGCTACAAAATTATGCTACTTCAATATTAAGGAATGATTACTAATTTCTAAGGCACTACAGTGGCATTACAGTGATTAGAGAAATGTCCTTTTTAGAGACACATACTAAATCTTTAAGTAAATAATGCCATACTATCTATAATAAACTAAGAGGCAAAGAAAAATACAGCAAAACAAGTACAATGAAGTCTAAATATTGGTTATCATTATGCTATCTGCTCTACTTTTCTATATAACTTTAAATTTTAATTATTAAAAAGTAAAAAACTTCTTTATAATTTCAACTTTAGACAGTTTAAAAGTACTATATAGTTGTAAAATACACACTTCCTATAATGATGTGTATTTTAGAAGAAATTTCCTCATTCAACATATCTACACCTATTTTGTCTGCAAGGAGTCCTGACAAATTTTCCTCAAAAGCATTTTGGGAAGAACAGATAAGTACACTGTAGTATACCCATACAATGGAATGATTACTCAGAAAAAAAAAAAAAGGAATGAGCTTGAAATGATCAGCTATTGGACATTTTTGCTCAAAAACATTATTTTAAGTAAAAGAAGCCAGATACAAAAAAGTACATAGCATTGATCGATTCCATGTATATGAAATTCTATCACAGGCAAAACTTTTCAGTGGTGACAGAAATCAAAGAATAGTTGAACAGAGGAGGGAGTTGAATAGAAAGAAGCATGAGGGAGCTATCCAAGTAACATAAATGCTCTATTTCTTGTTTTAGGTGATGATTACACAGATGCAAAACACCGTCAAAACTTATTGCACTTAGCACAGCATGGAGAAGACAAGTAGTGACTCTATAGCATCTTACTATGCTGATGGACAGTGGCTGCATGGCAAGGGGGGGGAGGAACGTGATAATATGGGTGGAAGTTGAAACCACAATGTTGCTCATGTGAAACCTTCTTAAGAGTATGTATCAATGATACCTTAATTAAAAAAAGAAAAAATACTTATTGTACTTAGCACGTAAAATGTGTGCATTTCCATAAGTAACTAAGTAAACAAAAGCTTTGGGAGCATCTACGGAACAGGTGCATCTCTGTGGTAATAAGATCCATTTATGTTGGTTTGTGTTCACACCTGCTACAGCTGCAAATATGTCAAAGGAATGTGACCAGCTGTTGTGGGTGGACTTGTCCATTCCCCAAAAGCACACATTTCAGCGATCCTCATTCACCAGGAGGTGAATGACTGCGTGAGCCTCTTTTTAAACAGCTGTCAACAGTGCCTAAACAAAACATCTGGCCAAACTGATCCTGTCTATTAATGAATTCCAAACAGTAGGAATTCAGGAAACAAGTCCAATTGGTTAATTTAAAAGGCAATGAAGAAAAAAGAACTGCCAACCAATTTGGAACTGATTTCAGCGCTAATGTTTTAGAATGTTCGGTTATCTCTGCCCTTTGGAGGCAGTGCAAGATTAAACCTAAAATCAAAAATCAAAAACATGTGCAGGGTTCTTCAGTTTAAATTTGTTTTCTCACTCAGAAGTACCTCCTATCACATTCACAGAACTTATTTAACATTCTTAAATTGCTACGAGAGCTATCTATACAGATCACAAACTGTCCTATCGGGAATTGCTGTTTTGTTTTCCCTAGACACATGCAATATATTTAAAATGAAGTAAACCAACACTCACATACTTCACTATCAATATATCCAACATTAAAAACTATTCCTTAAATGAAAATCACTAAGATGGTTTACAAAGGGAAGAAATGCACTCAAGCTACAAATACTTGATCTCCATATTATAAAATAATTGGCTAATTTCGGTCCCACTATTTCAGTTAACAGCAAATCAACAAGACACACAGTATTATCTTATTAGTGATCTGGTGGCATTTACTGACTGTATTAAATGTAGAGCAATCAATGACAACACGGGAGAGAAAGTTTCATAGTTCATCCAGAGCAATTACTTTTAAATTTAAAAAATAACTTTGTACAGACCTTTACTCCTTTTAAAACATTCTTATACCATGACTTACACATCCAAGCAAGAGTATATAAATCTGACTCCTAGAAACTTTAAGAACTATAGAATAGTTTCCTACTCTTTTCCTTTTATTACAGAATAAAATCAAGGACATGATGTAATGCCTGATCTTGTTTTTGTTTCCGCCGGCTTGGGCTTCACTGATGTGCACATGAAGATGAATGTGCTTATGCATGGAGCACCCAGCCTGACAGGAAGGAACAATACCAGTGCACTTGGTCCTGGTTTCACTTAGACCACCATGCTCATCCTTGGATCTACCTCAAGGGCTGCTGTGAGGCTCAAGTGAAATGGACAGCTGCCTGCATCCTGAAAGCATATGATTCAAAATACAGAGATACAGGGAAAGTGAAATTAAACTCAACTACCAAAGCAAATAACCACTTTATCAACTCTGACTCTTCGTCACCCTCAATCAATTCTCAAAAACAGTCCTATGTCTAAAGGTCTTCTGAGTTGTACCCTTCTTTTCTATTTCCTATTACACCCCAATCCTCTGAGTCACTGCGTGATTGATGACCACTCTAAGAGAATCTTTAGAGCCTCCAGCTTCATCCCCCTTCCAACTCCACCTCTGCACTATAAGCAAGTGAAAGCTAAAACACCAGCCATCAGTGCCCCAATGTCCCACAGGAGTGGTTCTCAGTGTCCCCTCAGAAACTGAACCAAAAGGTTTACTGCTGCTAAAATGAAACTGTAGCCCAACTCACAAAACAATTTTAAAATACTTAAAATTAAGTTAATAAAGAATTATCTCTATAAACTGTTACAATTTTTTCCCTTTAGTACTATGTATCAGCTCATAGCAAAAACAAGCAAATATTAATGGAAAAATCAGGAAGGAGCCAATGTGCTCAAAAATAGTTATTACAGACACAGTTGTCAATGACTGAAATTTCATAGTGTGGTTTATGGCATATATTTTTTAATTTTAAAATTTCTAAGGTTAAAACTTAAGTGGATGACTTGATCATCTGCTAAATCATAATTGTAATAGAATTAAAGCAGGAGCAGGTCAGCATTTCATGTTTACTTAAAAATGCTGTGAGTTTTATGGCCATAAAAACATGCTTGAGAACGACTCCCTTACAAGAGAAAACCCAAACTTCCACACCTGCCATTCAGGCCTCCAGGAGCCTCTGCCCCATCCTATCCCCAGCTCACCTGCTGTTTCAGCAACAGGAAAACACAAGTCCGCTCCTAGAAGGCCATTTCCCCTGGTCTACCTCCCCTTCAAGCTCAAACATCAACACCCTGGGGAAGTCTTCTCTCACCAACCCGACCCTTTCCCAGCCCTCGTGTGGCTATGACAGCACACACAGCACTTTTCTACAGGGCTGATGGGTCATCACTGTGGTCAAATCTCCCCTTAACTGGACCACATATCCTTAGTTCATCTCCAAACCCCCAAAACTGAGCAGAGTGCCTAACCCAAAAGGTATTCATAAAATGTTAACTAATTCAACTGCTTAGGCTAATCATAACGAGTTCACCTTATGACTTTATAGTTACATTACATACAAAGAAGCATATACACAGTTCCAGTACGTTAACATGAATATAAGAACCACAGAAGTTCAAAAGATGGAGAGATCAATAAAGACCATTATTAACAAAAACAAAATAACCACCCTAAGTACTAGGTTTTCTAATTAAACATTCAGAAAATCTCTGCAAAATTAATTTGATTAGCAAGTGAAATTAAATGGCACAAGTGAATTTTTCCCAGTTGTTTCAATTCTTTCCAAATGCTTTTTAGTTGTTGCTATTGTTGCTTTGTTTTGTATTGCTAAAAACTTTTGCTTTTTAGTTTTTATTTATTAATATTTTAATGGGTGTGTTCTCATCTCCTTAGTGAATGAGAAGATTGGGAAGAAAAAAAATGAGCTAATATTTATTGGGGACTAAGCTTCACATGCATGACTTTGTCCTCATTACAACTCTAAAAGGAAGGTATTATCTTGCCCATTTTAGAAATGAAGAAAATCAAGGATCAGAAAAGTTAAGCAAATTGCTCATCAATATGTAGTTAATAAGTGGTTCAACTGGGAATTAGGGTGACCAATTCATCTATTTGTCTAAGACTCACTTGGGAAATCCCCCCAAATACCAATGTTAAAATTGAAACTCCTTCATTCTGGTAATTCTCTCAGCCTTGGGAAAACCAGGATAGTAGGTTATCCTAATTGAAATTTAATCCAGTTCTGGCTGATCCCAAAGTCTGGGCTTCCATCTACTCCACTACTGTGCCCTCAGAGAGGAAGAACACTAGCTAGCGTTACCATAATGTTATAACAAAAACTTCCAAAATACAAATAAGCTAGTCACAGATGAGTTCTGGTTTCTTCTTGAGGGCAGAAATGAAGTTTACCAGTTTAACCGCTTTATGTTTTACAAAGTTAGCTATCTTCTTTCTGGGTCCAAGGGGTATGCCCATTTCCTTCAGGTCATCGACTGTACACATAAGCTTTAAAAGAAAACAAACAAGCATACTGATTAATCTAGTGATAAATGAACTGGAAATTAAATAGGAAAATTATAAAAATAAAGCATATCATCTAGAACAATTAAGATCCACTCTTTTTTAAGTTAATTTTCTTTTTAAATCACAGATTAATTTAGGTTGTAAACCCCTAGGCCTCCACACCTAAATCATTCTATCTACTAATTTTTAACAGAAAATACATGCAGGTTGTACAAATTTCAAAAGCTATAGTGATGTATACGATGAAGTCTCTCCTGCCCACTCCTGTCCCAACCAAGCACTTCTCTGAACAGCAATGTCAGCAATTTGCTCTCCTCCCAGAAATCATCTGTATATGGAGCATCTAGGTTCTTCCGTGTGTGTGTAGCCTGCCATACAACAGGACTGAACTTTGCTCCTTTTACATATCTTAGAAATCAGTTCACAAATAAACCGATTAAAAAATGAGCACAGGATCTGAACACACACTTCTCCAAAGAAGAAATTCAGATGGCCAACAGGCACATGAAAACATGCTCCACATCACTAATCACCATGAAAATGCAAACTAAAACCACAATGAGATATCACCTCACTCCAGTTAGGATGGCCAACATCCAAAACACAGACAACAACAAATGCTGGCAAGGATGTGGAAAAAGGGGAACCCTCCTACACTGTTGGTGAGAATGTAAATTAATTCAACCATTGTGGAAAGCAGTATGAAGGTTCCTCGAAAAACTCCAAATAGAAATACCATTTGACCCAGCAATTCACCCGAAGAAAACAGGATCACAGATTCAAAAAGACATATGCACCCTTATGTTTATCACAGCACTATTTTCAATAGCCAAGATATGGAAGCAACCTAAGTGTCCATTAGTAGATCAACAGATAAAGAAGATGTGGTACATATACACAATGGAATATTATTCAGCCATAAGAAAACAAATCCTACCATTTGCAACAACATGGATGGAGCTAGAGGGTATTATGCTCAGTGAAATAAGCCAGGTGGAGAAAGACAAGTACCAAATGATTTCACTCATATGTGGAATATAAGGACAAAGGAAAAACTGAAGGAACAAAACAGCAGCAGAATCACAGAACCCAACAATGGACTAACAGGTACCAAAGGGAAAGGGACTGGGGAGGGTGGGTGGGAAGGGAGGGATAAGTGGAAAAAGGGGCATTACAGTTAGCACACATAATGGGGGTGGGGGTGCACAGGGAAGGCAGTACAGCACAGAGAAGACAAGTAGTGACTCTATAGCATCTTACTACACTGATGGACAGTGACTGTAATGGGTTATGTGGTGGGGACTTGATAATACGGGGAAATATAGTAACCACAATGTTGCTCATGTGATTGTATATCAGTGATACCTTAAAAAAAAAAAAAGAAATCACTTCACATCACGTCTCTGACACCACCTCATTCATTCAACTACACAGGCATTCCATCACACTGAGGCCCCCATGAATGATGTCACCAGCGACCTCAGAAGGTATTCCTAAGGTTTTGCTATTACAAACAGTGCTGCAATGAGTCTCCTTGTAAATACTCTTATGTGACTATTTCTCCAAAGCAATTATTCATGACAAAAAAGAATTATACCTGGAGCAAAAAGGTATGTATTTTTTATATTTTAAAAGATATTGCCAAATTGCCCTCAATTGAGGCTGTACCAATTTACATTCTTACCAATATTTAACAATGCCTACTTCCCTTCATCCTGTCCACAGAGATCACCAAACTCTTTACTTTTGCCAAACCTGTAGATTAAAAAACTTACCCTACTTTTACTTTCTATTTTCCCTTATGAATTTTCACATAAGAAGCCATTTGTTATTCCTTTTCTGTAGATCACCGGTTCATATTTTGACTATTTTCCTATTGTGTTGATGGCCTTTGTGTAACTAATTTGTAGGAGCTTTGAATAGTATGAAAATAAGCCCTTTGCTTACAATGTGTGTTCCAAATATTCTTAATCTACCACTGGCCTTTAGATGTTGTTTATGGTGGCTCCTACTATGTAATTTTTCATTTATGGTTTCTGGATTTTTTGTCACACTTAGAAAAGCCTTCCCAGATTATATACTAAAAAGTTCCCCTGTGTTTTTCAATTTGTTAAACATTTAAGTCTCTGCCTTATTTGGAATGTATTATAAGAGTGTTTAAATCATTCTTAATTTTCAATCTTATACAGAGGAAAAACAATTTTAAACAAAAAAATGAGCAAAATTATTATCAGTACCAGAGACTCCATATCAATCTTTTCCCTTTCAAAAGTGCTAATGTATTCAGAGAGGCTAAGTGCTTCCAGAGTTTCTTGCAAAGTTAGGACTTCCTCATTTTCAACATCAAGGTCACAAGACTCATCCAAAGTCAGCTTTGGCTCTTCAGGCATCTTTAAAAAAAAAAGGCAGGGGAACATTGCAAAGCTCAGAAAAACTCCCACAAAATGTCTTTTGATCAACAGAAAATCTTAAATTTTGTTCTATACACAAATCATAATTTTAGGTAGTTTGTCACCCAAAGTTTAAATACTCTGAAAAAAAAGGATATAAATGTAACAAATCACTCATGCACCCATTAACTTTTTTTAATCATAAAACTCTCATATTTGAATTTATAATCCTTAAGGAAGAAGAGAAACTCAAACAATAAGCTACATGATTCTATTACCCTGTAAACTTCAGTGTATTCTGATATATAAAAACATTTCAGGAAACAGTTTAGGTTTTGGAAAACTGTGCAGCTCCAACTCTAAGTTTAAATGTTAACTGGGTCATACCTGTTTTTCCTGAAAATGTGGCTGCTTCACAACTCCATTAGCAACAGCAAAAGGCCCAGCAGACTTTGATAAATTCAAATCATTTTGATTAGACAGGATGTCAAATAATATTAAAGAACCTGAGAAAAAGAAGCATTTTACTTTATAATGTCTAAGTACTTTCATAACACTAAATAAATTTTTTTTCCAAAATCCTGAAGCATTAGTCATACAAAAGTTAGATGTTAATCAAGATCTAATAATCAATATTCTTGTTTCATCAAGTAGAAGAAAGCATTCGTTATAGTCAATAATACTGTGATTATCTTTGTATGGCAAATTGTTAGTAACTGCACTTATTGTGGTGACTATTTTTTAATGTATAAATGAATCACTATGCTATACACTTGAAACCAAAAATAATATTGTGTATCAACTATATACTTCAATTAGGTAACTCACAGGAGAAGCGACCAGCAAAGGCAGAATCTAAACTCAAAGCATTCATTTCTACCCTTTATAAAATTTAAAATTTCTAATTCTATATCATGGACTAACACCACCCCCCACACTGAAAGCAGTGATGGCTCAACAAAAATTTTGTAAAATGTGGATATTTTGCAGTTTTACCTAAACTGTGACCAGCAACAGAGACTCCTCCTTTGAACTCTGGGTTCCGACTTCTAAAGAGTGCATGCAGGCGGTTTATCTCCATTCCCACTTTTTCAACAATTGTCTGACAGTAGGTGGGGCTATTGTAAAATAAAATATCTAGCAAGGTTTCATTGGTAAAGTGACGAAACCGACCAATACTTGATAACGTGATTTTCTTAATATTCCTGTTTAGAAAAGAAAAAAAGTATACTGAGTCAGTAACTACCTTAAACTATGGATTTTTAAAAATTCGGACTCTGATTTCTAAAAACATAATGAGTAAAAGAATGTGAGACTAATTACGAGTTTCTCCTGTAGCCAATCATTATAAACAAACCAAGATAAAGCAAATAGTTATGTATGCCTATAACTGTACTATGAATTTGGGGATTCTCTGAAAAGTTATCATACAAAATGAGACCTATACAAGGATTTTGTTTTTAAAGAGGAAAGCCTGCTCTTCTATTTTTCTTCCAATTAATTGGAAATCCGGATACCTGTCAAAAATGGTGACAGAAAGAACACAGCGCACACAGCAAGGAGTAAGAAAAGAGCTTCATAGAATGAAAATCTTTCCTAATTTGAGAAAAGGCACAGTGGAGTTCATGAACATTCCACAGAAAAACAAAACACCCTCATAATAGGGCCTAAGTAGAGTAACAGATGAAATAAGACAGAATGCTGTTTGTAGAATTAGTTTCATTAAACCATGTGCCCTGAAACATGATGTTCACTAAAATCCAGATAGGCTATTAGCCCTGTGTCTCAGCATAAATATTAGCTTATCTGTGGTTCTCAACTGGGTGCATTGAAAATTGAGTGAGGCAATTTCAGCTGTCACAGTGCCTGGTGAGTGCTGTTGGCCTTCAGTCTAAGGATGCCAATGTCCCTCCTACAATGGCCACAACAACCCTGCACAACAAATAATTATCCTGCCAAGTGAGTCTCTATTGAGAAACAATAATCTAAGTTCAAGGTTCTCAACTAGGGACAATTTCACCCCCAGGAGACATTAACAATGCCGGGAGACATTTTGGGGTGATGGTAGAGGCCAGGGTGCTGCTTAACATCCCACAATGTAGGACACCCCATCTCAACCACTACAGAGCAGAAAGGTATTTTGAAACTGGCTTAAATTTCTTAAGAGTCTCTTAAAATTATTTACCATAGGAATGCATATATATGCATGCACATGCCCCCCCACACCAACAAACACAGAGTAAAGCAGCATATAAACTTAATAGCTAGTATTTAATCGTATGTCAGAGGAAATATATAATTAAAATAAATATATCTGTTGAAGTTATAATAAACTATTTCATTTTATGGTTTAAATTTTGAATCTAAGTTTGACTACTGTGAAAAATGAGTTATCAAAGTCCACCAACCTGTCAACGCCTGTGGCATGCCCACCCAAGGAACTATGCCAGTGAACCGGAAGGAATTCCACTCTGCTTACTTTCCCATCATCTAAAGATTTCTTGAAATGTGTCTGCAGCAATTTGAGAGAAACCATCCTAAAATCATCCACTTAAAAAAAAAATCAGGGAAGACAAATTGATTAAATTCTCCTAACTTAATGGGTAATTACCAATTTCTTCAAATATGCCAGCATATTTTATAATAAACTATTCACGGCAAAAAAAAAAGGATGACAATATTAGTCCAAAAAAGAAAAAATTCAAACTTTAGGAAGGTGATTAATTATTTTAGAGGAATGTATAAATGACTGAAAAATATTAGTTTAACAACACTTTTGGGAGGCAGCATGGCACTCTGGGTAGACTCTGGAATCAAACTACCTGCCACAGGATCCCGGTTGGCGGAACCCACAGACCTTGATACAGCAGAGGTTAACTTACCCTGTGGGCCTCAACTCCTCACCTACTAGTGGGTAACACTGACAAGCACCTCTATCCCAAAGCTTTATTGTGAGTGCTGAATGATGTAATACATGCAAGGTATTTAGTACATATCACATAGTCAATAAATATGAACTATTATACAGACATAAAAATAAAACTTCAAACATGTAAGTAAACCACACAGATTCATAGCTCCATTAAACAACTTCTTACAACTAATTCATTGTAAATAAGCCCAACACACACGTGCTCCTCATTGTTGGAAGTGCTTAGACAAAGGCTGTTTATCAGAAAAGCTAAATTATTTTCAAGATCCCTTCTAATTATTCAGTCGAAGACTAAGTTATATATCTCCTAATAGCAAATCTAGAAATTAGTTTCTCAGTGATCATTTAAATGCTTACAGTTCTTCAGCTAGTAGTAAACAGTTGGAAACTACCTTTAAAATGAACACTTAAAAGTTCTTCCATTAGTTCTCAAATCATTCCATGAAATAAAATGACTAACACTTACCACATCCAATAATGCTTCTAAAACGCAAGTCACACACAGGTCCAATGCCATGCACCATGAACACCAAATGGTCAACCTGAGGCATTTCCCCTACAAAAGAAATATATACAGACATACATACATACATGCACACACACACACACACACACACACACAAGCTGGGAAATTATTTGGATTTTCTTATTTGAATAGCAATATTCTAGATATCTCTTTTGCCATCACAAACTTGCCCAAGAAATTCATGACTCTTCCAAGCCAACAAGAGAGGAACAAACCTCATAGTCTGTCTTGGCAAAGAACAGTGAACTAAATCAAGAAGTGGGAGAAGCAGGCCGCCTCTGTCTGGTCCCTGAGGCTAACAGCATATGATGACCAGCAGTTTTGTACCTTAAAAGCCCCATCGCCTTATGATTTCTTCAGAACTCCCCACATGGAAAAGCAATTTGCCAATATAAAACTTTTACATCTTTTCCCAAAATCCTTCCCTTTGATTTGTTAGATTCACACTCACTATATAGGAACATCTCTAAGGTAAATCTACTATTTTACGTTCATTATTTCATTCACTATGAATACATTTATTCCATAAGTTCATAAGACAATGATACAAACATGAAGTATGTAACCGACAATACAAAATCCATACTTTAAATAGCGTAATGGCAAACCAATGACCCCATGAGTCAAATCCTGCTCACTCCCAAAGAGTTTTACTGGAACACAGCTATGCCCATTGGTTTACATGCCATCTACAGATGCTCTCACACTACAATGGCAGAGCAGATGTTACAAAGTCCATTTGCCGGCAAAGCCTAAATTATTTACTATTTGGCCCTGTTTGCCAACTTCTGCACTAGAATAATACAAACTAGATGAAGCAGGACAAAACAAGCCCAGAAATACTACCAGAAGCCTAGTTTCAACCAGAAAAGTGCTTCTTCATAAAAGTAAAAATTTTATAATCAGTATCACCTGGTTTGTGTACCTTCAACAGAATTCTAAACTTCAAAAAAAAAAAACAGATATTAAAGTAATAAAATTAAAAAGAAAGATGTGCACCAACCTGGCTGATTTCTGCAAGTTATGGCAAGTAATCTTAATAATCGTTTCTTTTTTCATGGTTCTAAAAAAGATGCCCAATAAAGTGTAAAAACAACCTTGGTCCTAAATAAATTATACACACCAGCAGGAATTTCATCAAGGTTATCATCAACTCCACGCTTTACAACCCTGGGCCTTGTCTGTCCATCTTGCGTGGTTCCCCATTCATCTGGCACTGATGAAGGCTGGAACTGAACAATAACCTTCAAGATAAAACAGAAAGATTATGACAGAGCTCACTCCAAATTCATTTTCACTAAAGACCAAATAATTTAACACAATACATAATAAACTACTTCATAGTATGGAAAATTACTAAGTGTAAACAAAATAAATGTAGTATAAATATAAAGAACTGGTACTGTTCTCCCAAACTGAATTTGTAACAGTCCTGTTACTATTCATTAGCTATTGAAACAAAGCAAATCAATACCATTATTCCAATGCTTATATTGGGAAAATAAAAACTAAATCAGAAGCAGTACACCTTCATCTTAAAAAATGTGACATAAAAATCCAGATTTCCACATAAGAAATTAAGGAAAAGTAACCTGTAATAGAAGAATCACTTTCTCATAAAAATATTTAATGCAAAATCACCTAAATAGCAAGAATCCCAATTAATTTACAAATTCAATATCCATGCCAAAAACTGATTTATCCATCACTTTTTAGGAAGACATAGTATTCTATTAAGTCAACTGTATTAAACTTAGCCTAGTGTCATATAAAAATTTTTCTTTAAAAAACAAAAAACAAAATGTATGCAAGATAGTGTGTAAAATTTTTGTATGAAAAACAAACAGGTAGGGTGGCGGAAATTTCCCAAAACCATACATATTTTTGAAAATACAACAAATACAACTACGCCCAAAAGAGAGACCAGAAGATATAGTACAAGAGTCAGGCTACATCTACATCTGCAAGAACTCAGCATCTCACAAAAAGGGTAAGATACAAGGCTGTGACCCAGCGGGACCCAAGCACTCCCCCCACCCCAGCTCATCGGCGAGAGGAAAAGAATCAGAGTGGGGAAGGAGTGGAAGCACAGGACTGCTGAGTAACCAGCCCTAGTAATCTGCACCGGGAGCACAGACACACATTGTACGGTGTACTGGATATCAGAGAACCAGAAAAGTAAAATATGAGATGGAGACTGCGAGCAGGTCCCCACAGCCTGTTCCCCTGGGACAAAAGAAAAGCGGGTGCTTTTTGAAAGTCTTACAGGGACAAGGGGCTTAACAGCGGGACGGAATCATCCCGGCACACTAAGCCCAGCAGGCTGGGAGTCCTAAGGAACTTCTCCACAGATGCTGAAAAAGCATTCGACAAAATTCAATATCCATTCATGAGAAAAATCTCAACAAAGAAATAAAAGGCATCCAGATTGGTAAGGAAGAAGTCAAACTGTCACTCTTTGCAGATGACATGATATTGTACATAAAAAACCCTAAAGACACCACTCCAATACTACTGGAAGTAATATCTGAATTCAGCAAAGTTGTGGGATACAAAATTAATACACAGAAATCTGTTACTTTCTGATACACTAACGATGAACTAGCAGAAAGAGAAATCAAGTAAATAATTCCATTCACAATTGCATCAAAAAGAATAAAATACCTAGGAATAAACCTAACCAAGGAAGTGAAAGACCTATACCCTGAAAACTATAAGACACTCTTAAGACAAATTAAAGAGGACACTAACAAATGGAAACTCATCCCATGCTCTTGGCTAGGAAGAATTGATACTGTCAAAATGGCCATCCTGCCTAAAGCAATCTATAGATTCAATGCAATCCCTATCAAAATACCAACAGCATTCTTCAACCAACTAGAACAAATAGTTTTAAAATTCATATGGATCCACAAAAGACCCCAAATAGCCAAAGCAATGCTGAGAAGGAAGAATAAACCAGGGGGGATCTCGATTCCCAACTTCAAGCTCTACTACAAAGCCACAGTAATCAAGATAATTTGGTACTGGCACAAGAACAGACCCACAGACCAGTGGAACAGAATAAAGAGTCCAGATATTAACCCAAACATATATGGTCAATTAATATATGATAAAGGAGCCGTGGATATACAATGGGGAAATAACAGCCTCTTCAACAGCTAGTGTTGGCAAACCTGAACAGCTACATGTAAGAGCATGAAACTGGATTGTCTAACCCCATACACAAAAGTAAATGCAAAATGGATCAAAGACCTGAATGTAAGTCATGAAACCATAAAACTCTTAGAAAACATTTGGGCAAAAATATCTTGAACATAAACATGAGCAACTTCTTCATGAACATATCTCCCCTGGCAAGGGAAACAAAAGCAAAAATGAACAAGTGGGACTATATTAAACTAAAAAGCTTCTGTACAGCAAAGGACACCATCAGTAGAACAAAAAGACATCCTACAGTATGGGAGAATATATTCATAAATGACATATCCAATAAGGAGTTGACATCCAAATTATATAAAGAACTCAGACACCTCAACAAACAAAAAGCAAATAAGCCAATTAAAAAATGGGCAGAGGAGTTGAACAGACACTTCTTCAAAGCAGAAATTCATATGGCCAATAGGCACATGAAAACATGCTCCACATCACTAATCAGAGAAATGCAAACTAAAACCACAATGAGATATCACCTCACACCAGTTAGGTTGGCCAACATCAAAAGACAAACAACAACAAATGTTGGCAAGGATGTGGAGAAAGGGGAACCCTCCTACACTGCTGGTGGGAATGTAAATTAGTTCAACCATTGTGGAAAGCAGTATGGAGGTTCCTCAAAAAACTAAAAATAGAAATACCATTTGACCCAGGAATTCCACTCCATGGAATTTACCCTAAGAATGCAGCAGCCCAGTTTGAAAAAGACATATGCACCCCTATGTTTATCACAGCACTATTTACAATAGCCAAGAAATGGAAGCAACCTAAGTGCCCATCAGTAGATGAATGGATAATGGATAAAGAAGATGTGGTACATATATACAATGGAATATTATTCAGCCATAAGAAGAAAACAAATCCTACCATTTGCAACAACATGGATGGAGCTAGAGGGTATTGTGCTCAGTGAAATAAGCCAGGTGGAGAAAGACAAGTACCAAATGATTTCACTCATCTGTGGAGTATAAGAACAAAGAAAAAACTGAAGGAACACAACAGCAGCAGAATCACAGAACCCAAGAATGGACTAGCAGTTACCAAAGGGAAAGGGGTTGGGGGGTGGGAGGAAGCAGAGATAAGGGGATTAAGGGGTACTATGATTAGCACACAGAATGTAGGGTGGTCACGGGAAAGGCAGTATAGCACAGAGAAGACAAGTAGTGACTCTATAGCATCTTACTATGCAGATGGACAGTGACTGTAATGGGGTATGTGATGGGGACTTGATAATAGGGGGGAATGTAGTAAGCACAATGTTGCTCATGTGAAACCTTCGTAAGATTATATATTGATGATACTTCATAAAAAAAAAGCAAAACACTTGTTATAAATATATCTGCACTAATAAAAATGAACATTTATCAAACACATTCAGCAAAAAATTATTAAAGTGAACCTTTAACATCTTAAACAATATCATTACCTTTGGATTGTGCATAACAATTGTCTCTCCACTAGGAAACTCTAATCTTCGGTGCCACTGATTTGTGGTTACAGCTTTTTTATATTCAGCCTATAATAATGGAAATAACACATAATCCAGTAAGACAAATCTATACCACACTAAGTGTGGAAAAAAATTAAAACTATTATGGTAATAAAAATAGTAGCAACTCTCATCTCATGTACCAACTGGTTACCGTGTATGTTTATCACTTTACATACATTACCTCATTTAATTAATTACTCTTACTCATTCCTAAATAATATTACCCCATTATATAGAGACGAAAACAAGGTTTAGATGGTCTAGGGCTGCCACAGACTGAGTGGCTTAAAGCAACTGAAATTTATCGCCTCAGTTCTGGAGGCTAGAAGTGTGACGCCAAGGTGTCTGCAGGGCCACGCTCCCTCTGAAACCTCCAGAGGGCTCCTTCCAGGCCTCTCCCTAGCTTCCAGCAGACGGCTGCCAACCTTCAGTGTTCTTTGGCTTACAGATCCATCAGTCAAATCCACTAATTTCACATGGCATTCTCCCTCTATGTCTTCTTATAAGAACACCAAGCACATTGGATTAGGAGCGCATTCTATTCCAGTATGATCTCAACTAATTATATCTGTAAGGACCCTATTTCCAAATACAGTTACATTCTGAGGTACTGGAGGTTAGGACTTCAACACATCTTTTAGGGTGTGGGGCACACAATTCAGCCCCTACCAGACATTTTAAGTTCACAGTTGCACAAGACTACACTCTTTTACTGCTCTGATAGGACAGTATTACCTTTATAATACTGAGCAATATGTATCATCTGGTTCTCACTGGATTTCTCACTTCCTAATCTCCTCTGCCTCTTCCCTGATCTGGTTTGTTTCACGGAAAAGGCTGAACAGGAGTTAAGGTCTCCCTAGGTAAAGAACAGTCATGTGCTGTTGAGATGTGGATAGCAATCCCACCCTCAAAGCGTGTGTCACCCATTTACAGTGCGCCCTTGAACAATGTGGAGGTTAGGGGCATCAACATCCCATGCAGTGAAAAACCCATGTATACCTTCTGATTCCCCAAAAACTTGACTACTAATAGCCTATCACTGACTGGAAGCCTTACTAATAACATCTCTAACACATATTTGTATGTTAATATATTATATACTGTATTTTTACAATAAAACTAGAGAAAAAGTGCTTTTTTTTCAAGTTGTTGCAATTCTCCAAAAATTCTTTCAATATATTTACTAAAAAAAAATACCACATACAAATGAACCTGCATAGTTCACACTCATGTGGCTCTAGGGTCAACTGCATAATCAAATACAGTTAAGATAAAGTGTATATGCTTTCAGATTCTGCTTAAACTTGAAAATATCTGAAAGTGTATATGCTTTCAGATACTGCTTAATCTTGAAAATATCTGGAAGTGTATACGTTTACAGATACTGCTTAAACTTGAAAATACTTTAGCTTCAAAATAATAGGACCAAACATTCACTGTGGGATATCCCTTCAGTTGAATCCTACCAAAGTTATTAAAAATTACAGTAACTTAAAAGTTTTAAAAATACATTTGTTTAATTATTTAGAAGTAAAATGAAGCTATACATATAAGCAGTCCTTTATACATTTTCCTTATTCAAATAACTAAAATTAGGTTTTAGGAGACTTGCCTCCTAAAACTTGGTATTTCTAAGAACAAAATTAATTTTATGCCCTTTAACTCGTTGCTCTCCTTAACTGGGTGCTGATTCTGCTCTAAATCAGTGTTTTCCAAACTGTGGGTCATGACTACTAATAAACTATAAAATGAATGTTTTAAATAAAATATAAAATATCAAAATGAATGACACTTAGTAAAGGCAAGTACTATTCTGTGGTACTTTGGTACTAAAACAAAACTTTGTATTTAGTGGTGTGTTAAGAGCTGGCCCATGCCAACTCATGAGAGCTAATCTCATTAGAGTTAATCACACATATCTTTTCCCATCTCTGTACAAGAACACCACGGTTGGCTTAAAATGATCATGGAGGGAATACTTACACCATGGAAATCAGCAAATGCTATAAATCAGGGGCTATTTTCCCTGAAGAGCCAGTTTACCAAATACCACTGTTTCTTATAAATAAATATATGTGTGTGTGTCTAAAATGTGCATACTATATCTCAAGGTACAATGTATTTCTTACTATGGATTGAAATGGACAAAATCTGAAGCCTCTGCTCTCAACAAGCTTCTTTTCCAATTTACTTAACCCCAACTAATCACTGCCTTACTTTAAATCCACACTTACCTTTTGGTATTAATTTGGTTATAGAATAGCATAGATTACAGATTAATATTTCCAAAGCAGGCACAATTGATAATACCTAAGAACTGCATTTATAATTTTTTTAAAAAAGCAAAATACTCCACAAAAAAACATCTATACTACTAATATTGTTAGAAATAGGTATGTATATATGGATAGATAGCAGTCTAAGAAAATATTTTTTAAGTGTAAAGTTTGGTTTGAAAAGATAACAAAATTGAATAATTTTTTCTTCTATTAATTATATTATGGTCTACAGGGACAAAAAATTTTAGTAATTATATTAGTCAGCTGTTAAACTTGACTGTCAGCTCCTAAAACAGAACATAAAGCCTAGTCCACGCTTGAAGCTCTTCAANATATTAGTCAGCTGTTAAACTTGACTGTCAGCTCCTAAAACAGAACATAAAGCCTAGTCCACGCTTGAAGCTCTTCAAAATATCAATCTAGGAAAGATTAACATTTTAGAGGTCCCTTTTAATACTAATATTAATGTTGTTTTAATGTTTAACGTTAGTGTTGGTTATCAAAGCTGGTTATCCATTAAAAAATAGTAATTAAAATGTTCTTTCTCATTTCCCATATATGCAATTGAATTCAACTTATTTCAAATATTTAATATGCAACTATTAAGTAAAATTATCACAAAAAATTAATGTAATTATATAAAACATTAGCCACCAGTTTAAAGATGGCTAATAAGTCTCATGATGTTTGTTCCTACTCTGTTTTTTATTTCATAAATTAGATGTGAATTTCAAGCCTTTTACTGAATATTAGTTTGAAATGCACCCACATGCTTGGCATGTATTGTCTACAACAGATCCCAGCAGACTAAATTTTTTTGAAGGTTTGTTACAAGTACCTTATTAGATTTGTGATGTTCCCTGAAAAACGTTCTACCTTAAGACACTGAGGCCACAATCAGCACCTCAAAAACAGTGGCACCACTTAAAAAGTGATCTCCTGTGTGAAAATATAAATAAAGTGGGCTCCGTTGTGCCAGTGGTGTTAAAGAGGCACCATTGTATATAGGACCTACATTTTTTAAATGAAAACGTAAAGGAATAAAGACCACATACCTCTAGTTTTTCACTGAACTCCTCTGTATAGGGAATAAACCTGCTATCTGTGTCCCCTTTGTAAAACCAAGTACAGCGTCTCACTTCCGTTGGCTCCTCTTCCCAGTACACGGCTTTCCTCACTCGGTCATAGAGGTAAACATCGTAGCGCCCTCCATCCGTGCCTAGAACCACACTCTCAGGGTCTGGCTGGACTGGAGCAGAAAGTCCACATTTTAAGCCAAGAGTTACAAGGCATATTCAAAGTAACAAATAATGAATATGGTCACTAGTCAATCCTTAAAGACAAAGAAGCTCATTTTTGTTTAGAAATAGAAGTTTAAAATTCATGTGTGCTACTCAAAATAATGACTCTCCTTAAGTGAAAAAGAAATAGCCACAGCATAATTTCAAAACATGATCATAAAATAATTCAGTAACTGGTGGGTTTTTTTAAGTCAAAGCAGCAATGCTCCATGAAGTATGTTTCTGAAGGATATTAATAGGTGATTTTTCAGCCCCATGATGAAGTATCATCAGGGTATACAAACACGTTTCTATACTGCAAGCCTTCTCAAGCCTTACATGCTCCTGGACCCTCTACGTCTCGAGAGGTGGATGCAGTTAAACCAGTCCCAAAACTCATCTACCACAGAACAAAGCACTTTTTTTCAGAGTATCTCTGGGAACAAGAGTTCCACAGAAAAGCTTTATAAGTGCCCCATTTATAAATAATTATAAACAAATTAGGGAAATAGGAAAATTGATGCCAGGATTACATGAATTACTCTACACAAAAGAAAATTACTAAAACATTTTTTCGACCACCTTATTCAAATAAGGTGACTTACTTAGGACTTATATCAATAAAATCATCCTAAGGGACAGTGTCTGGTGGCGTCTATAAGGATTAAGGAGTTTGACATTCACAAAAAGCAGGCCAGGGATAAATACTCCTCATTTATTCCCTTCCTAAAACCAGATACAAATAATGCATGATCAGTGCTTACCTGAATTATAGATTTCTTCAAGATTCAAAGAGTCAAACACACTGAAAGGCATCCACAGTTGTTTGTATTCTACCTCCTTGCAGTAAAACCAGTGGGGTTGAACAGGTTCGTATTGGTTTTGAAGTAGAAAAGGAGGCGGCCCTTGCAGAGAAGGACCTGCAGGTCGAGCAAGTGCCTGCTGCTGTGTCGGAGGGGGCAACCCTGACTGCACTGGAGGAGGACCCTGGAGGGGACAAAAAAGTTTGGACTGTCATGTTTGTCCAAAGGAACAATGCTGTATATGCCTCAGACTCCAACAGCCATTAGTAATAATTTTCATATGTATATTTCTGGATAACTATTTAGTTTAATAACTAGATCCTAAAGCAATTATTTTTTTTTAATCTAGCAAAACCCCAAATCAGTCACAAAGTGAACCGGACTTTCTCAAACTGATGGCAAAGTAAAGTAACACTTTTACCACTTTTACAGAAATCAATCTAATAACATGTCTCCTGTAACTTATTTAATTTTTTAAATGTGCATAGCCTTGACCTAGCCATTTCATTTCTAAAAATTCATCCTATAGCTATGATTATACAAACAAGTAAAAATTGACCTACAAAGATGTGTACCAAAAGGTTATGTATTGTAGAAAATCACTGGACACTAAATGTCTAACAGAAACCTGATTAAATTATCTTTTACTCACATAGTGG